ACGAGTAATTATTAGAAATATTTAGTATTCCTCTTTAGGCTTATTCAATATTTTCTGTGTGAATGCCAGTGTGAGAGAAGAGACTGCAATGTATGTCTCACTGCTGTTTCAAGCTACTCATATCTACATTCATTTGCCTGAATTTTTCAAAGAAAAAAAAGCAATTTCAAATACACCCCATCTTAGAAATGTAATATAAACACTCGCACTTCACTGCGTTGTCCTCAACAACCAATACGCTAGCTCCTTATCCCTGAACAGCAAAGCTCCTCCATGTGTTTTCATTTCACCAGAGCGATTTTATGCATCTCACTCATTCTACTGTGTCATCAAATTGGACTCCCATTCCCACCACCCAATTGTCAACTATGGGCCATACATTGCAGAGTCAAAGAGATACATACACACTATCATATTAAGTAAATTGAGTATAAGTTAATTACTTTACTTAACCAAGAATACAAACGGAGATATAGGGTCTCTGGGTTAGGCTGATTAGGGTCACAGCGACTGAGGTAAAAGCTGACAGGTTCCATCCCCTCTGACCCTCTACTGATGTACCTGCTGGCCTGCAGACTCACCTGGGTGGGGTCTCTGAGAGGAAGGTCTCCGTGTGGAAGTCTGAATTGCTCCCTGGATGGTTGATGATGAGACTGACGCTCTGCCCCACATGAGACAGCAGGAAGGAGTGAAGCATCAGTTCCTGTGCCAGCTTAGGAATCAAAAGCAGAACCATGCCCTGTCCCCCAGCGTTGTACAAGCTGAGGACTGCACAGGGGAGATATTTACAGCTCTCTCTATACCTGCTCATCAGGCACTTTTCAGGCACATTTCTTGGGTTATTCCAACATCTAAGCACATGATTTCCCTGTAGACCTCTGGAATAAACAGAAAGGAAATTTTTCCTAATGATTCTCTGATCCCAAGAGACCAGGTTAAAGGCCAAGTGAGACAGTGTTTATGATGCGTTGTCTTGAACTTACATGCTTTCCAGAGATCTAACCTCTTACTCCCTTATTCCAACACTGATTGAACCTTTTCTTCAATGTCTGAGATTATGGAACCCATCAGGCCGGGTCCCTGTGATCCTCAAGCACTGATCTGTGGTGGGGACACAGCCCTGATGTCTCTAGAGAATTGCTACTCTCCTCTCCAACAAATGGACTGTGTTCCTTTGATATGGAACCCTGGGTTTCACACTCATTGGCTTCCTGACAAATTTGTCAAAATAATAAGGAATTTTTTACTTATTTCACAGGTGAAGAGCTGTCATTGAGTATCTCATTAGAAAATATTTGTTAAGTATGAGATACATTTTGAAAGTTGTATGCTATATATTCTGAGCTTAGTATCTTATAGACTTTGCCTGATTTAAGTTTTCAAAATGTCCATTCTATTATGACTTTCATTCCTTTTACAAATACTGAGGTTGAAGTAGGTTATTGATTTTCTCGAAGTTATAAGCTAAACAAGGGATGGCCTTGATTGGAATCTGTCAGGTTGATTTTAATTTTCAAACTCTGGGCCAGGGTTTCTCTATCGGAATTGATTTTGCCCCTGGAAATATTTGGCAATGTCTTGGAGGAAGGTTACTAAACACCCATAATACCCAACACCAATAATTATCCTGCCCTACTTGCCAACATGAGAAGGTGAGAAAATCTAGTCTAGACCAGCACTTCTCCAACTTCAATGTGCATATAAGTCACCAGGATTATAGTTCAAATGCAGGCCTTGGTGGGCCAGAGATTCCTTTTTTTTGTTTTTTTTTGAGATTCTTTGAATGAAACAAGTTCCCAGATGGTGTTATTGCTGTAGGTGCTGGTCTATGGACCACACTTTGAGTAGAAGGGTGTGGCCCTGTTATAGTCAGGTTAGGTAGTTCTAGGTCTTTAGAACCAGAAATCATTTTGCAAGTAATTTTGAATGTATAGTGTATTCACTCATTCTAGAAGCTGTTATAAATTCATTGTTCAATTATCTTTTACTAGAGGCCCAGTGTGTGATTGAAATCATGTGAGGAGGCCCCTCCTCCTGCCGTGTGAGGGGGTCCCTATGGGCTGCTTCGGGAGTCAGCAAGACCCACGCCTTACTTCCGCCCCAGGCCCCCGAACCTCCCTGCCTGTGTCCACTCTGGGGGTGCCCGAGCCAGGGCGGTGGTTCGACCAACCCAAAACACCCCCTCCTGGCCCCCCTACCTGTGTGTGCTCTGGGCCGCCTGAGCTGCCGGCCTGCTCAGTCAGGTTCCCCTGTCTCTGTCTCCGTCTTTGCTCTGGGCGTCACCTGTGCAACCTCCTCCTGTCCGGTCATCCCGTTATGGTGTCCTGGTCTAATTTGCATATTACCTTTTTATATATTATGATAAGTATTTATAAATGAGATCATATGATATTCTTCTAAAAAAATGCCTTTTTAAATTTTTTTATATAAGGGCCCTTGTGTGACACCATGGAATACATTATTGAAAAGATTTTCATAGTAGGCTGAGCTTCCAAAGATATCCACATCATAATCCCCAGAAACTTGCAATATGTTACTTTTTATTGCAAGATAGGATTAGAGTAGCAGATTGAATAGTTGGCTAATCAGCTGACTTTAAGGTAAGATTGGCCATAATAATGTAGGTGGGACTAATGAAATCATGGTGGTTCTAACATTTGGAAGAGGAAGGAGGATTGTTGGAATCAGAGGGAAACTAAAGATGCTACACAGCTGGCTTTAAAGATGGAGAAAGGGCCATGTGGCATGAGAAACTGGAGTAGGAGAGGAAACTGATTCTCCCCTGGTGACTCCAGAAGTAACATGCCCTTACAAACATCTTTTAAAAAAATTACTATTTTATTCTATTTTTTATCTTTATCTTTGAGAGTATTACAGATATCTGCCAATTTTTCCATTGCCTCCTCTCCTCCATCTCTGTCCCCCCTCACCCTGGCCATCACCACACTAATGTCTATGTCCATGGATTATGCACATCCTATATAATAAAAAGGTAATTGCAAAAGACCCCAACTGCAGAATGACCAGAATGACCGTTCGACTTGTCACTATGAGTTGCACTGACCAACTCTTGGTCCCTTTTCTCGACTGGTAGTCTCCTAATGCCCGATGGTGAACAGGTACAAGGGGTGGGTGGCAGGGGATGGGGGCGGTGCCTGGTCAAGGTCCCTGCTCTGGGGGTTGCTCCAAGCACAGACGGTGATCTGTGGCTAGAGTGGAGCCGGTGAGTGGGCAGCAATGGCTGACCTCTTGGTTCCTCCCCCAGGTCATCAGGCTATGATCGCCTGCTGGCAGACCTGGAACTGGGGGTGAGTGGCAGTTGGGGGTGGGGCCAGCTGTGCGCAGCCAGGGAAGATGGCCCTGATTGCAGGCCAAGACTAGGGACTGTACCTGTGCATGAATTTCATGCACTGGGCCTCTAGTCTATATAATAAAATCCTAAGTGACCATTAAGGCAGAACAACCAGAATGACCAGTCACTATGATGTGCACTGAACACCAGGGGGCAAATGCTTAACCCAGAAATCTGGCTCACGGCTGAGGATCGCATTGAGATGGCAGGAGCCTCTTTTGCCTCTGGCACAGGGCTAAGGAGCAGTGAGTAGGTGGGTGGTAAGGAGTGAGGGGTCATGGACAGTGATAGGGCACAGGCTGGGCTGAGGGACCCCCTCACCTCCAGTGCACTAGTCTACTGTCGAAACCTTCCACAGTGCTCTTTATTATAGGTATATCACACTTTATTTATTCTTGATTTATACGTAAGTTGTTGTTTTTCTTATCCGTCTGGTTTATGAACTGTATGACCCTTATTCTCACTTGTTTTTCTGACAAATTGCATGCCTCCATTTCGTTTAGCTCCTTTTTTGGTGATTTCTCCTTTTCTTTCCTTTGGGGGTTGTTGTTTGTCTCCCCATTTTCACTCTCACTGAAAGATCTAGGTGTCAAGTCACACTGTGCCTGTGACTGCAGTGACGGACTTTCTGGTAGGTCACATGGTCAGCAGGCCTGGTGTTGATGCTTCAGGCTTGGTGGGCATTTGTGCAGTTGTGTGTCCCAGGGTTGTTGTTTAAGGCTTGGCTGTTTGCATGCATGGCTGTGCTGCCCGGGGCTAAAGCATATGCTGGCAATAGAGGAGCGTGTTCCAGATCTCACAGGAGCTTTTGGTCAAGGAGGTTGTAGTCTCAGTGTTTGTGGGTCCACAACCGAGGCAGCAGGTCCCTGGCTGGAGTGGCTGTAGGGTACTGCATGGTGTCTGAAGGCACCCTGGTGGAGGCTCCCAGTCACAGCAGTTCTCCCCTTCAAGAGCTGCCTCTGTGGCGTGGCCTCTGTGGCAGAGCTGGCTGTCCCAGGAGAGATAGCAGCAATAGCAGAGACTTCTCAGCTAGAGGAACCTGGTCCACCAGCCCCCAAAAGTCCTGAGGAATCTGACTGCTCTTCATGCACCCATCCACACACCCTACATATCCACACACTCCCCTTTTGCTCCCTCACTCATACTCTCTCCTACACTACTGTCCTGCTGGCTGCCATCTTCCTTCCACAATACTATTGTTAAAGAGAAAACCATAGGCCGAAAATGGCATCACTCCAGTTAAAAACCCATGATGTTAAATCTAGATTTCATAATGAAAGTTTCAACAGCGCCAAAAAGATTCTTTTTAGTCAACCAGTCCTGAATTTTCTGGTCAAGGACCGATAAGGTAATCTGTCACATGGCCTGCCCCATTCCCCACAGAAATAAGAGGGAATCTGTATGATAGAAATTCTTCCTCCTGCCTTCCCCCAAATAAAAGATGTCTTGGCCTCGAAATAATCCTTTCTCCCCCTGTTTTTAATAGCTCCTTTGTCTTTCCAATAAGCAGAATTAACATCAGAGATAACATTCATGACCTACTAGAGGACTGGTGCACAAAATATGTGCTGCACTTCCAGCCATGAGCACGACTTCTGGCTGAGCAGAACTTCTCCTGTGGGAGCACACTGACCACCAGAGGGCAGCTTCTGTGCTGAGCGTATGCCCCTTGGTGGTCAGTGTGTGACATTATGACAAGTCGTTCCTCCATTTGGTCGATTTGGATATTAGCCTTTTATTATATAGGATACCGAGAGCAGGGCAAATTTCTAATTACTGAACATCTTTTCTCTCTCCTGTGGGCACACTGACCACCAGAGGGCAGCTTCTGTGCTGAGCGTATGCCCCTTGGTGGTCAGTGTGTGACATTATGACAAGTCGTTCCTCCATTTGGTCGATTTGGATATTAGCCTTTTATTATATAGGATACCGCGAGAG